ATTAGACCATAGGGCCGAGTCTACACATTTACATCGTCTTATGCAATATATGTGGGGTAAAACTTGTTCGAGTAAACAGGGTTGTATCATATGTACATCATTGATATGATGGTTCCCGAAACCTGGTATCATCATTTTTTGATAGTGTTTTGATAGGGATTCATAAACACATGCTTATGATATTGTCGGAATCGTGCAATGAAATCTCCATTTTACAGCTATAATTTCTTATGATATTGGACATGTTTTTAGTTATTATTACCCGGAGGGGGCACGGGTGGCCAAGTCGTCTAAGGCGCCGCGATTCGCTGTGCAGAGTTGCGTCCCTTGGGCACACCAGAAACCTATGATTGTGGGTTTGAATCCCGGTTCGCCCCGATTATGTTTCTAGGTTTGTCAGCACCATACCCGTGCTCGTGGGTTTCACCGAAATGGTAAATGTCTGAGACCTGCATCACTTCGGGCTTTCCTCCCACATTAAGCTGACACGCCGTGATATAACTGGAATACTGATAAAAGTGGCGTTAAACCCGACTCACTCACTATTATCACCCGGTTTTATTGATTATTATGTCACATAAAACAACGCTCTAATATGATGGTAAGTTCATTCTTTAGTTGGTGCATGCGAACACGTTGAACGTGTTTGATCGTTCAATAAAAGTGTACATTAAGAGCATGAGCATTTATTCATGTAAACATCCAAGCTTTAGATGTAATGACAATTAAACAGTTTTCTATCAGCACAAATATGTGGCGAACATAAACAAGGTACTATAATGAACCCAGTGTATCACGGTAACGTTTCAACTGCATACATTGGTCAATAAACAACAACAAACAATTGCAACTCACTCGCTCTGTCGACATGGCAGTATAGCAGAAAATATATTAAACTTGACACTATGTCTCCTGATAGCATCGGATATTGTGACCCAGGCCGACGGATCAGTCAGCATGCGAATTGCATTATCAGCTCCCTGGGGAGTATACCAAATACGAGTATACGTGTACTTAACATCGACGATAGGGTAAACAATGTCATATGAGTATAAACTAGGCATGCACTATTGTGTGTTTCATGCAGTTCGTTGTATCTCTCATCCAACAACAGTTATTACTTAATCCTTGCAGTTTACATTTCAATACTGATCAGTTTTTTTAAACGTCCCTTAACCTCGGTTACACACACCCGTACATAGCTATCCTTACATTTTAATGACATTTTACTAAAGAAATAAACGACGTCTATCGTACCATAAAACACTACAGGGAGAATAACCACTCGGGGCTGCGATATGAGATATCAACATTATGTACAGCCTATTTAAAGACGTTGATAAAATGTACAAGCTTTAAAACTATTTACCCGTATTTAAATAATGATGACTCCCTGAATACAATCCGACCCCTGCAATATTGGACAAGTCTATTGAACAAACAGGTGGGTAAAGGTCGGTATCTTCCGCATAAATACACTCCTCACGTCAAACATCTATACCTTTTCTTCTAATACCGATTGTCATATCTGATCGTTCGGCCACTGCGTTTATCTGCGTAGACCAGCTACGTATTTGGGGAACTACTTACAAGACACCTCCCTCTCAAAAATAACGTCGTCAAATATATTAGCACATATTAGAATCTCCAGAAATGACTTCATGATAGAACAATGTTTTATCGTGAAATAAAACACGCTTGGTTCTTCATTGTTCTTTGCGATTTATCGCATAGCTATCTTATATTATTGTGTAATCAACACTGTACTGTATCAAGTCTTTGAATTGCATCAGGAAGTGATGCACATAAGAGGGAGAATCTATGGATGTCAACTTCGTTATTACAATGTTCTGTAGATTCTGTAGATTCTGTAGATTCTGTAGGAGATTCTGTTCTTCTTGTTGAGTATCTTTGTTCGCATTGCAGTTACGTTTGGTTATAGACTGAAGTGGTCATCTTTTCGAGGCAAGAGGGTTAACTGACTATTAAAGTCCAGTTTCCACCCTTGCCGAACTAGGCTGGTATTATGGAGTAAGTTACAATTCGGCTGGACTAACGAGTCTATGCATAGTCCAATCAAATTCGCGCAACGAAATCGAAATCCGGTTCCTAAACTCTTGCAGATTTCGGTCGATTGCAGGATTTGCAAAGCATGTGCACCGCTAGCTCGTTGGCAAGGGTGGAAACTGGACTTTTAATAGTCAGTTAACTCGCTTGCCTCGGGAAGATGGAAGTGGTAGGGTAGTCTTGTGATTGAAGTGTGAACTGGAATGATTCCCAAAGCAATGTGTTCCTGTAATGTTTGTGTGTTTGTTGTTTAACGCCCCACTCAGCAATATTCCAGCTATATGACGGTGGTCTGTAAATAGTCGAGTCTGGACCAGGCAATCAAGTGATTGATATTATGAGCATCGATCGACGCAATTGGGAAAGGATGACATGCAGCGAGCCTGCCCACACGATCCCGTTCGTCGCCTCTCACGACAAGCATGGGTTGCTGAAGACCAATTCTAGTTCTACAACGCTACCAAGGTACCCCATATTTGCCACTGTGTCTTTTAAGACCTACTGCATGTTTCCTCGTCATCAAAGATACAACAATGTTGCATCTCTTCATATACCAGCGAAATAGTGGAAGTTAAGAACAAACGGTACACACACCCAAGCACATATGTAGGTATCACACATTAACCGTCTGTAAGGAAGAATGACATTTGGGATACTTACTGTCCGACAAAATGACAAATAATTAGCAGTGAGTGAAGGTGGGTACAGTCTAGTAAATACATTTTAGTAATAATCTCGAAGAATATCCAATTACATCCCTCCTTTGTCGTTAAAGAATCACCTTTTCCAAATTATTATAAATATATCACAAATTCCTCACTATTGTCATCCTACAGACCATCTAATTTCACGTTCCTATCCACGCAACGCTGTCCAGAAGGCGGAACAGTGTTGTGTTTGGTGGAACAGTGTTTAAGTGTTTAGGCCTGGGACACCTTCATTTGAACGAGGATTATACCTGGTTCGATTGCACTTCAAATTCAAGGTCCCTGAATAACTTACTGCAAGTTATGCATTTACCAGATCGTGATGACCCTGAAATGGGCGGAAAGACGTAAACGATGTTGTCCTTTGAAATTGTCTGATGAATCAGGATATTGAATAACGCCAACTCACGGTTACGTGTAGTGCATGGTCCTCCCACGAATATAAAATTAAACAAGCCTTTGTTAAAATGCATTCAAAGAGAATTGACATTGTCTGCTGACGGTTTTATTTGCAGACTAGAAATGATCTATCTTATGAGGCAATCTGCCTACCTATCGTGAGATGGCACGTTGCTTTTTAAACATATACCGTTTTAATGACAATATCTACTTCAGCGTGTGTAGGAAATGTGGAATTTAGTCCTATAAGACCAGCGTCTTCAGTAAAAGTTGAAGTGCTTAATCTCCTTTGAAAGTATACATTCAAACACTTTAACAGGAATTGAGCACATTGGTTAATTCGATAAGAGATACTTGAAAGCACATATCCTCTAGGCTGAGATGGGTTTACGAACGTTAATGACAATATGATATCGACATGAGTAAGAACACGCGGACATTCAGTTCCCATGTACTATGGTCTTCCCACCTGCAGGATATTAGACATTAGACATAGGTGAAGGCGAACTTATATCGGTGTTCAGAAACAGCCGGAGGTCTACCTTGAAACTGAGATGTTTATCTTAATGGCCGTGAACACCAGACCACAGGGATGTAACATCAAACACGAACATCCCTTAGGTAAGAATTTTAGAATAGCAGAGTACAATGTTTATGTTTGATGAATCTTGAAATGATTAACAAGAGAGATAAGTTCCCGTTTTCTGCGTTCAAAACCACAACGGAATTAGGAAGATTGTGAAATTACACACTTGACTCTCTGACAAACGTGTGTACATGCTTTCCTCACAAGTAGGATTTGAATGTATGAAGTTTAATATTCAATTACTCAACGACCTTGGGGGATATTGGCCTTCAAAATGAATCAGGCATTTAACCGTGGGCTAGGTAGACCCTCATACGGAATACATTGTAAACCGAATGTATAAAGTACATGTTTATGTCCTTTCAAGGAGCTTGCAGTGAATGAGGTAAAGGACATGGTATAAACTTTATGACAGGTAAATATAATACATATACACACATTCCTTAAATGATTATTCAAGGAGTTAGTCATTCCATTCAAAGTCCGTGTACAGCTGTTTGAAGGCAGAAGCATTCAGATACAAATATATACACGCGTCATCTGGTGACTGGTGTGTGGGTAGTTTCGGAACATGTCTTTCCTGTTTCTGACACGGACATGTTACGCTCACTGTTGCATCGTAAATTACTGAATGGTCAACCTACCAACAATTCAAAGGATATGTACCTGGCTTAGTATATTCATATTTGTTTTCATATATTTAATGATTTGCTACGAATATTGTTATGATAGTGATACTTAATATGATAGAAACGATTATATCGCAGCGTGTCAGCTTAATGTGGGAGGAAAGCCCGAAGTGATGCAGGTCTCAGACATTTGCCACTTCGGTGAAACCCACGAGCACGGGTATGGTGCTGACAAACCTAGAAACATAATCGGGGCGAACAGGGATTCGAACCCATAATATGATAGAAATGTAGTTATTGTTCACTGATGGAATATCAATTATTAACATCGGTTTCATTTGGTTATATACTATTACCACATATGGATAATATTTGACGAAACTAGACCGTTTTCATGTAATTGTGTTATCTTCAATTGAATTTTGATAACTATCAGAAAAATGTAAAATTATATAGTGTATCAGTTAACATAACATTTCATTGTATATGTTCTGTTAAACAATGGGTGAGTGTTTAGAAACCGGTGTCGAATGGACAGTGCATGTTTAAAACACATTCAAATTAGAACACGTCCTCCGTCTAATATCGAGGGATAATCCTAACTGTACTTACCATTTCCACTCGATGCCCTCTTTCTTCACAACCACGTATATTCCTTCTATAATGAAAGGCACTGTGGCCAGTGTCAGTAGCCAGAACTGGTCATTCTGCCAGACATCGGTCACTCTCCAGATGGCCACAATAGTGTGCAAAAACAATACCAATCTAACGGTCACCGCCTTGATTATATTCATCGTGGCCATCATGCATTCGTAGGATTAAACCCAGGTGCCCAGTTTGTCTATACACACGTTCTACACGAGGACGACTCAGCGCGGCCGACCTGTTTCAGTACAAACGGAGGGACTGCTGTTGAATGTAGGTGAGCACCTTGTCTCACCCCTCGAGATTTAGTTCCGCATAGATTCGGTCTCCCGCCCCTGAAGTAAGGTATTGGGAGCCGGTACCCACTAGTCGGGTATTTATCCTAGTTTACCCATTGGCTTGTAACACGATGCTACATCTAGGCTCTTAGCCCCGCCTCGTAGCTACCCTCACACCGGGGCGCTCTTGTGGCTGTTTGGTGCATGCGAGGGCCAGTTGGGGCCATGTGATTATATATTGTGAAAGTATTGGATCTTTTATCTGTCCTATATGACATCCTCTATAGATCCTAGCATGCTCGTTGTCAATACACTTCATTGTGTGGAAGTAACGCACGACATGGTCCTTGGCGATTGTCCGAAGCTTTTATCATCAAGCGACACTAGCCATTTTATTACTTTATATAGGTGGTAATGTCATGTTTTTGAAAGAACGGATGATATATTATTTGAATATATTCGCACGTCATTTGAAAAGGCATGCACTAGCAGGCACGACGTACGGGATGTCATGGCAAATAGGGAATCTGCATTCCAGATGTGTGACTTTTTTTAACTGTGTCCCATATTCCACTTACATGGCGGTTTTATGTCGCAGGGACATTCAATGTAGTGTTTCACGTCAACAGGTTTCGTTTGCTTAGTCTCACAAAGCATTATACGTTCACGATATAAAAGGGATCGTATATGTTTGTATATGCAGTGGGGCGGTCGGGTAGCCTAGTGGTTAAAGCGTTCGCTCGTCACGCCGAAGACCCGGGTTCGATTCCCGACATGGGTACAATGTGTGAAGCCCATTTCTGGTGTCCCCCGCCGTGATATTGCTGGAACATTGCTAAAAGCGCCGTAAAACCATACTCACTCACTCACTCATTGTATATGCAGTGAATACAAATATCCACTTGCATTCCCGTGCGGAATCTGATCCTGGAGCATTACACCCTACTCAGTCAATGTTAGTCTGCGTACCCAAACGACGCTGATCGCAACTTAAGCTATCAGCCATTGGTGTGTCTGGTCCATGATCGATTAATACGAAACCACTGATAAAAGAAACGTTTGCACTGTGTGGCTGAAAAACCCGATTATCTGTTTCATGTATTCTGAAAACTAAGTTTTACATTAGATGACAGTTCTAATAAATAGATGGATAGAGGAACCGGTCTAAACAGGATTTGAGTGAGTGAGTGAGTGAGTGAGTGAGTGAGTGAGTGAGTGAGTGCTGGAGTATGGTTTCATGCAGCTTTTAGCATTATACCATTAATATCACTGCGGGGGGCATTAGAAATGGGCTACACACATTGTACCCATGTGGGGAATCGAACCTACGTCTGCGGGGTGACGAGCGAACGCTTTAACCACAAGACAACCCCACCGCCCAGGGTGTGTGTGATATTGGAGCCCAGTATAACCAGTACATGGTTATCGAAACCGTATCATCGAATATTAGAGCTTACGCTTCAATCTCTAGACTACCCCAATATCTCTAGATGGTAATTATTAAAACATATGAAAAATCGCTCATATATTACATTTTTGTATCGGGGACTGTGAGTAGCGTGACGAGATCAAATGATCTGCATGTACCTTTGGTCACGTTTAATAACAGTACGTTCCATTTCCTCTAATGTATCCTGCTAAACTTAGCATCAATAGAACAATCAGCAAAGCGTTTAATTGTTAGGAAATGTTGGTCACATCCTGTTAGAAGAGTTTGTCACATGTGGTGGCTGTGTCTATGTACACAATGTGAATTATTACCCATAGGATGTAAAGGCTGGAAATATTAATCATCCATAAATTTGTCACTGCAATTTGCAATATATATATATATAATTATCGGATAGGAACACATATTCTGATTGTTATCTTAACATATCTTTCTTATATAGGTGAGGTGAGGTGAAATGGGGTTTAACGTCGCTTCCAGGATTATTGTACTTATATAGCGACGTACATGTACGTGTGTGTGTTTGTGTGGCTGCTTGTACTAGTCCGGACTGATGCCGATTTATAGTGCTAGCTCACTGAGATACCATGCCGCAGTTTAACATGAATATCCCACTCAGACGCAGTATACTGACTCCGAGCCGACAAGTCCTTGTTTTAGCCCCTTAATGCCGAGCGCCACACAGGGTAACAACAAGTACCATCTTTTAACGTCTTTTGGTATGACGCGGCTGGGGATCCGGGCGGACGCTCTACCACAAGACCGCGTAGGCGGTCTTTATTATATAGTAATTCATAAACACATTGTGATTCATAAACACATGCTCATGATATAGTCGGAATCGTACAATCGACTCTGCTTTATGCAGGGATTTCTATTGGATATGGAAAGGGTTTGTGGGTTTATTTAATTAATTATAAAACATTTTAAAAACATACAATTACATTAAATCTGTTACATTCAGTACCCACGTTTTGATAGATTACAGGACATCAACAGGACAATTAAGAAAATCTGTTTCCTTTCATTTAACATTTGATTAAAACCCCATTTAAACATGAATTCTTTTGGTGATATTAGATGGGGAATTCCTTTTCGTTAACACAAAATATTCAAGCGATACATATATAAGCGTTATTAGTATATATAGACAGATTAAATAGGGGGCACGGGTGGCCCAGTTGTCTAAGGCGCGTCCCTGTGCAGAGGTGCGTCCCTTGGGCACACCAGAAACCTATGATTGTGGGTTCGAATCACGGTTCGCCCCGATTATGTTTCTAGGTTTGTCAGCACCATACCCGTGCTCGTGGGTTTCACCGAAGTGGTAAACGTCTGAGACCTGCATCACTTCGGGCTTTCCTCCCACATTAAGCTGACACGCCGCGATATAACTGGAATACTGTTAAAAGCGGCGTTAAGCCCAACTCACTCACTCACTCATTAAATAGTTTTATTTGACGACATCAATTTAAGACCAATAAGAGTAATATATTTCCAATATCTCAGGTATACAATTGACACAGCATGATATACCTCATCCCTTTTTCGAAAAAATAATCATATTTCTCTTCAAGCTGTGCGTCGGGTAAACCCGTTCATTTCGGTTGAACAAAGAAACGTGCTTCTGTTCGTTAATACGTTGACTCTTGACCCTGGACGAGAAACCATCTTTTGTAGGCGAATACCGAAGATGGCGTATTACCTTGGCCATGAATTTAACCATTGTCAGTTGAGAGAGATAAGCCTTGAGTTTGAAATGAGTTTCTTTATTACATTTTAGCCTTGAACCCTGGTTTACACAAACTGAATTGCAAACATTTCAACGTCAGTGTCGCTACAATATATCTACACCAATGGTAAATAAGTCTTGTTCATGCATCATTGCAGACTTCGTTAAGTTCATTCTTTCAGAGTCATCTAGGATGAAAATGTAATAAGGCACACCACACACTGGCATAGAGGTTTATTCTTCTTGGTGTACATTGGGAATCAAGGGTTGGTGGTTAACAGAAATGTGAAAATAAGAAACGATATAGCTTGCATAAATGATGTGATGGGCCGTTTTAGACCTGTTTCAATGACCGAGATAAATGCTTTAATTCTAACCCTTGGGTGAGTGAGTCTCAACATCATTTCAATTATATTCGACGCGTCACCTTGACGTGGGAGGAAAGTCGTAGACGATGACCAAAATGTAGCGATACAAATTATATGAATGGATCACCGAAATCAGTGATGACACCGGGTGTTTGCGAAATGGGTTCACGTTATCCTGCTCTACCGGTAGCACCCGGTACTCACACATATTTTCATGAAAAAGTAGTCGTTTATTTGTTGCCTAACGCCGCACCCAGCAATAATCCTGCATAGTTACGGCGGCGGCCTGTTAACAATCGAGTTCAGACAACCCACAGGCAGGTATGGTGCTGAGAAACCTACAAACATTATGAGGGTGAATTCCAACACTGTTACCATATCTGTCTAGGACAATATTTGACGAAACTAAATCGTTATTATGTAAATTTATTTCGCTCGCATTTTCGATTTATTTTTCATAGATAACAGAAAAATGTTGAATTATACAGTGCATCAGTTAACTGGATAATTAACAATCCAATGACACCGGTCCCCTTTAAAACTTTGAGATAAGTGTACATATGTAGATTTATTTCCTCTGATTTCAGGAACCATCCAATTACGTTCGCCGGACTGTGATTCCGACATCAAGGAACATGCTGAAACGTTCTCATAATGTTATAGTAAGCGTTTAGAGTAACATAATATATACGTTGCACCGATTGTCTTAATAATGGAATAAATTTGGACCGTGGGAACTTAAACTGCTATACGAGCTTGTGAATTAATACCAGATGGGCTTTCAAGACGTTGTCCCAGCCATGTGCAACGTTTCTGTCTATTAATTAGAGGGCATCACATCATCCAGAGACACATCTTCCGAGCTGGCTAGCGATAGACATTTCCACAAATAGTTCGCGAACACCCGGTGTCGTGTGAGAGTATAATCTCACTGATTAACAAATGGAAAACTATGGGAATTACGAGGTACAATATGTTCCTACATGTACTATTACGAATACACATTTTCAAAATACTTAGTTTCGTTTTTGGTGATAAATATGGTTGTTCGAGTATGGCGTACGTATATCATTAACTGTCGTGGAAAGATTTATTCGTGCTGATTGAAAGCTAGTCTGTTTCACAGTCCCTGAACCATATTATTATCCCTTTCGCCCAGCCCTTTCTATTATACAAAAGTCCAAATGGAGGAAGTCTAGATTTTCCTCTGGTTCAGGCGGAACAGTTGCTCACTTCTCTCTCATGCATGTCACCCAGCTTCCGCAACCCCCACTCCCTCCTCCCCCATCCTGTATCCGTTCCTGGTTGTGTTACTGTACATTTAAACCAGTGGGTGCACGTGATAGGCATGGCCTCAACTGCAGTGAATTACTCAGAGCCAGGCCATTCGAATAAGCTCAGCTATTACCGACTGCATTTATCATAATATTACATGCATTCACTAGGTTAGGATAATATCATTGTATGCTTTAGTCTTCTGCATGATCATAGAATGGATTTTGAATAACTTTGAAATTTCTTGATAATGACTATGTCCATAACATGCATTATTCTAAAGTGTAAATATGATGATGTCGATCTAAGTATTTAAAGCCAGTGTTGATAGATACCATGCCGCAGTTTAACATTAATAGTGAGTGAGTATGCTTTTACACCGCTTTTAG